AGTTAAGATATTTTTGGCACCTGGCAGGCAGTTCTTTAAATTTTTCTCATACTGTGGTATAAATGGTTAAGCACTGGGCTACTAACCAAAAGATTAGTGTGAACCCACTCAGAGGTACCTTGGAACAGAGGCCTGGCAATCTGCTCCTGAAAGGTCATAGCCTTTGAAAACCCTATGGAGCACAATTCTACCGTGCGACACATAGGGCTGCAATGAGTCAGAATTGGCTCAGTGGCAGCTGGGTTTTTTTTTTTCATTATTATTATTAGATTCTCAGTTGATAACTCTCATTCTATTCTAGTAAAGCTTTTCAGCAATTAAGAAAGCATTTCCATAATTTGTGTTTGTTTTCATTTTGTTGTGGTATTTTGTTTTTATTGGGACACGAGAGGAAATGGTTTTATCTTGTTAATAGAAATTAAATTTTCAAATATTGGTGATGAGCTCTGGCATCATAGTGAATGAGGTACTTGACTGCTAACCAAAAGGTAAGCTGTTCAAACCTACCAGCTACTCCACAGAAGGAAGATGGAGTGATCTACTTCTGTAAAGATGTACAGTCGAAAACCCAATGGGGGTCACTGTGAGTCGGAAAGAGTTATCTACCGCTCTGGTAGCATAGTGGATAAAGCACTTGACTGCTAACCAGAAGGCTGGTGGTTCAAACCCACCAGCCACTCCTCGGAAGGAAGGTTGGGCAATCCTACTTCCGCAGTGATACTGCCTCGGAAACCCAAGGAGAGGTCGCTATGAGTCAGGGCCGACTCGATGGCACATAACAACAACAAAACAGTCTGTCAGTTTGTAGTATTGTGGCTTCCTGTATCTGTGAGGCTAGAAGCTGTGCCAACAGTATTTCAGATACCAGCAGGGTCACCCATGGTGAACAAGTTTCAACAAACCTTCCAGATAAGGGAAACCGGGGAGAAGGACAGGGCCATGTACTTCCGGAAAAATTGGCCAGTGAAAACCTTATGAATATTAGTGAAACACCACCTGATGCGTTACTGAAAAACTTTATGAATAGCCCTGAAACAATGTCTGATATAGTGCCAGAAGATGAGCTGCCTTCTCAATTAGAGTCGACCTTAATGACATGGATGAAGTAAAACTTTTGAGACCTCCATTTGCTGATGCAACATGACTCAAAATGGGAATAAACAGCTGCAAACGTCTATTAATAATTGAAATATGGAATGTACAAAGTATACAGGTAGGAAAATTGGAAGCTGTCAAAAATGTCATGGAACACATAAAGATCAATATCCTAGGTGGTGGTATTATGTGCCATCGAGTCGGACCCGACTCAAAATGAATCCTCCGAGGCGGTTGTTGTTGTTGTTGTTATGTGCCGTTGAGTCGGCCCCGACTCATAGCAGCCCCTCCTTGGGTTTCCGAGGCAGTACCACTACGGAAGTAGGATTGCCCAACCTTCCTTCCGAGGAGTGGCTGGTGGTTTTAAACTGCCAGCCTTCTGGTTAGCAGTCAAGTGCCTTAGGCAGTACGCTACCAGAGCTCCTATCCTAGGCATTAGTGAGCTGAAATGCATTGGTATTGGCTATTTTGCATCAGACGATCATATGGTCTACTATGCCAGGAATGACAAATTGAAGAGGAAGGGCATCACATTCATCATCATACAGAATGTTTGAAGATCTGTCCTGAAGTAGAGTGCTGTCAGTGATAGGCTAATATCCATATGCGTATAAGGAATGCCAGTTAATATTACTGTTACTCAAAATTGCACATAAACTAGTAAAGTAAGAGTTGACTTAATTGAAGATTTTTTCCAACTTTCTACAGTCTGAAACTGCCAAACATGCAATCAAAATATATTGATAATTACTGATGATTGGAATGCAAAAGTTGGAAACAAGAAGAATCACCAGTAGTTGGAAAATAGTCCTTGGTGATAAAAATGAGGCCAGAGATTCCATGATAGAATTTTGCAAGACTAATGACTTCCTGATTACAAATACCTTTTTTCAACAACATAAACTGTGGCTAAACACATGGACCGGGAGCTCTGGTAGCATAGTGCCTAAAGCACTTGACTGCTAACCAGAAGGCTGGCGGTTCAAACCCACCAGCCACTCCTTGGAAGGAAGGTTGGGCAATCTACTTCCATAATGATACTGCCTCAGAAACCCAAGGAGGGGTCGCTATGAGTCGGGGTCTGTCTGACTCAGTGGCACATAACAACAACAAACAACACATGGACCTTGGGCCAGATGGAATAGACAGGAATGAGATTGACTCCATCCATGGAAAGAAGTGATGTTGTCATGTGCCATCGAGTGGTCTCCGATTCATGGAGACCATACAGCAGAACGAAACATGGCCTGGTCAAGTGCCAGTCTCACGATCCCTACTATATCTGAGCCTATCACTGTAGCAGTTCTGTCAGTCTGTCTTGTTGGTGGCCTTCCCCTTTTTTGTTGACCCTCTGCTTTACCAAGCATGATATCCTTCTCTAGCAAATGATCCCTTCTGACTAAAGTAGGTGAGACGAAGTCTGGCTATTCTCACTTTCGAGGAGCATTCCGGCCACACTTCTTCCAGGATAGATTTGTTAGTTCTTTCAGCAGTCCATGGTGATGTTTTAAGCTCAGTATCTTGAGGCAAAACAAGGCCAGGAGCTGATTATGAAACAGACCATGGTCATTATAAAGGAATGGAAGAAAAGACTAAAATAGTTATCAGAAAATACTCTGAAATTAGTCCCTGAACAGAGAATTGCTAAAGAGAATGGAAGAAATAGTGAGGTAAAAGAACTGAAAAGAAGATTTCAAAGGGCAGCTCGAAAGAGTAAGGTAAAAGATTACAATGGAATATGCAAAGATGTGGAGTTATAATACCAAGATGGAAGAGCACGCTTCCAGAAATGCAAACTGGATTCAGAAGAGGATGGGGAATGAGAGATACCATTGTTCATGTCAGGTAGATGTTGGCTGAGAGCAAAGGATACCAGAAAGCTGTTTACTTATGTTTTACTGACTATGCAAAGGCATATGACTTTGTGGATTATAACAAATTACAGGTAACATTGTTAAGAATGGGGATTCCAGAACATTTAATTGTACTTACAAGGAACCTGTACATAGACCAAGAGGCTGTTGTTTGAACAGAGCAAGTAGGTACTTCTTGTTGTTGTTATGTGCCGCCGAGTCAGACCTGACTCATAGCGACCCCTCCCTGGGTTTCCAAGGCAGTATCACTACGGAAGTAGATTGCCCCATCTTTCTTCTGAGGAGTGGCTGGTGGGTTTTAACTGCCAGCCTTCTGGTTAGCAGTCACGTGCCTTAGGCACTATGCTTCCAGAGGAAAGGATGTGTGTCCTTTCACCATTCTTACTCAGTCTGTCAGAAGCTGGAGTATATGTAGAAGAACACAGCATCAGGATTGTAGGAAGACTTATTAACAACCTGCTACATGCAGACAACAAAAACCTTCCTTGCTGAAAGTGAAGAGGACTTGAAGCACTTATTTAAAGTTTTAAGAAGCAAAGGTGTCACTTTGAAGACTTAAGGTGCACCTCACCCAGAGCATGGTATTTTCAATCACTTTATATGCATGTGAAAGGTGAGCAATGAATAAGGAAGACCAGAGGAGAATTGATGCTTTTGAATTGTGTTGGCGAAGAATACTGAAAATACCATCAATAGCCAGAGAGACCGATCTGTCCTGGAAGAAGTGCAGCCGGAACGCTCGGTGGAAGCAAGAATGACCAGACTTGGTCTCACCTATTTTGGTCATGTTGTCAGAAGGGACCATTCCCTGCAGAAGGATATCATGCTTGGTAAGGTGGAGGGTCAGTGAAAAGAGAAGATGATTCAGCTAGATGGATTGACACAGTGGCTGCAACGGTGGGTTCAAGTATAGCAAGGATTGTGAGGTTGGGACATGAGTGGGCAGTATTTTGTTCTGTTGTACATAGGGTCACTATGAGTTGGAGCTAACTACAGCACCTGACAACAACAATCATAGCTTACATATAAAAGAGTAAATTTAACACTTTAACTCAAAGATGACTATTACCCTGATCACCTCTCATTGGTTCTGCAGATTCGTTATCATGCTTTTATATATTATTATGTAGTTACAATATCAAGTAAGCATTTTGCTACTTTACATTCGAGTGTTATTTCCTGAATATTTTTATGAGCAAAATTGTTAGCAAATCCATTCTCACTGAAAAATTAATTCCAGCGTTCCATATTTGGTAGGTGACCCTTGGAACATACAGCTTCACAAATCCTTATCTGCATTTGCAAGTTCAGAAAGTGCTTCAAACTGAAAATCTTGACTCATTTGGTAGCAAAGCCTTAGTTGAACAGTTGTGATACTATTTATAGTCTTTTTCCACATAGTGGGAAATACTAATTTGTTAAGTTAGCAGTGTTGCCTCATACCATTTAGACAGGGGGTTTTAATGAAACCAAAAGGCAAATTAAACTCACTGCCATAGAGTTGATTCTGACTCACAGTGACCCCCCCTTGGGTTTCCGAGGCAGGAAATCACATTCGAAAAGTATAACATCTGACCTCAATTTTTGAATACTTATATAAACTTATTTTGTGATGCTTGCAAAGTAAAATTTTCATGGTTTTGACAGTTTTAACCAATAAAGCAAAATTGATACATAACATATATTTTTTAAAAAATGTGTAATTAGTCCTTTGTGGTGGTTTATATTTGGAAATCACAGATACATAGATAAGCAATTTGTTAAATTGGTAGATATATAGAATTGAAAGTATCTTAAGAGGTACCTTGCTAAACATTTTATAATTATATTCCATCAAGTTAATGGAAATTTTAAGAGAGTATTATAAAAAAATGATTGGCATTTCTTTAAAATGCTGACATGAATTATGGGGTTGGTGTCTGTTATCCAAGTTTACTCTGACCTACTCTCAGTGGCTATTAAGATTTGTGGGCACTGTATTGTGTTGAACAGTTTTTTATCCTTTATGTGTTCCTCCCTGCCCCCCAATAGGAATAAAAAAATACGTTGTTGGACTCATTATCAAGACATCGTCTGACCCAACTTGTGTGGAGGTAAGTTTTTTTTGGAGATTATTTGAAAAGTAATATTTTGTGTATGAACATCTTTGGCTAGATTTAGATTCTGTTTCTATTACAGACATATGTCTGTATGATCATTTACAATAGAGTTGAAATTACTAGTCTCAGTGTTGCCTGTTTCTTATATTCTTAATAAGGATACCTATTCTAGGCTCTTGTTTAATCTAAACTTTTTTTCTCTCCCTAGAAGGAGAAGGTATATATCGGGAAATTAAATATGATTCTTGTCCAGGTAAGCCTTGATTAACTTGTTTTCCTTAGAAGAACTAAATGCTTCAGTTAGGCCTATTATGCAAACAAAATGTCCAAACCTACTCTTATTTATTTATTGAATAACTGGACTAACAGCTACCGGAAATAGTGATAATAGTCTAGTAATAACTACAATATTTAGCCTATTACCTAGTGTTGAAAATTGTTAATTTGCTGTGATAGGAAACAACAAATACCATAAATCTACCTTTAAATTACATTGAATCTTTGTAATTTGTTTGCCTAGTACTGTGCATGTGTCCTTTACATGCAAAATGTCTCAATCCTGATTCAGATATCATTGCCTTATAATTTTGCATCCTTCTCATTTGTTTTGACACTTACTCTGCATTTCTAACTCTCTTTATATTCCACTTTAGAATTTTTAGTAGCTACTTGTTTTCTGTAGTATGTAAAGAAATTTTCCAAGCATTTAATTGCATATGCAAGGAAAAAACATTATTTTCCTATTTAAACAAATTTAGAAACATTTAGCCTCCTGAAAAAAATTGGGCTTTTCACTATGTTAAACTACCTTTTTATACTTGAGGACTTTCTGTTGTTACCATTTCTCTGAAGAGGGTAAGAAGGGAGCAAATAAAGAAAGTAGCTACTTAGAGACCTTGATGGCATAATGAAGTGCTTGTCTACTAACTGAAAGGTCAGCAGTTCAACCCACCAGCATCTCCACAGGAGAAATGAACTGGTGACATGCTCCCATGAAAATTCCATCCTAGGAAATCCTGTGGGGCTGTTGGACAGCTATGAGTTGTAATCTGCACAGTGGCATTCAACAGCAACATTAGTAGTAATTGTTTGGAAATCCCTAACCTAAGAAAATGTATAGTCCAGACTGATAAATCTAATGCATCTGAATCCCTGTGTCTTTTGCTTTCATTTATTTACTTTTATTGTTGTAAAAGCATATACACTAAGACATTCAGCATCATAACAACTTCCACATTTACAACTCCGGGACATAGGTGATATTTTTCAAGTTACGCCACCATTGTTGCTATCCTTCCCAAAATAATTCCACCACCATTAACACAAATTCATTGTTCTGTGAACAAAACCCTCCCTTTTCCCCCTCCCTCCTACTCCTGGAAACCAATAGTGATCTTTGGTTTCTTTTCTTTTTTTTTTTTTTCTTTTTAACCTACCTAGCAATTTTCCTTCCCCTCCCTGGTAACCGAGAAAGAAAGTTTCCTTCCATGTGTAAACCTTTGCTTTGCTTGACTTTTTACAATAGTGGGTTAATATAATATTTGTCCTTCTGTAATTCACTGACTTCACTCAGCATAATGTCCTCCAAGTTCAACCACGTTATGTGGTGTTGCACAGATTTTACATTATCCTTTAGTGTTGCATTGTGTGTGTGTACCACAGCATAGTTATCCGTTCTTCTGTTGATGGGCATTTATGTTGTTTCCATCTCTTTGCTATTGTGAATAGTGCTACCGTGAACATGGTGTGCATATATCTGTGTGTATTTGTATTCTGGTTCTCACTTCTTGATATATACCTAGTAACGGGATTGCTCAATCAAATGGTATTTTTAATTCCAACTTTTTAAGGAATCACCATAGCGATTTCCACAGTGGTTGCATCATTTTACAGTCCCACCAGCACTGTATGAGAGTTCCAATCTCAGCTTCCTCACGAGCATTTGTTACCTTATGTCTTGTTGAACTTTGCTGTTGGTGCTGGGGTGAGACGGTATCTCACTGTTGTGACTTATATCTCTCTAATGGCTGCAAACATTTCTTCATGTGTTTGTTGGCTGCCTGAATATTTTCTTTGGTAAAGTGTCTGTTCATGTCTTCTGCCCATTTTTCAATGGGATCATTTGCCTTTTTGATGATAAGGTGTTGAGAGTTTTCTGTGAATTTAAGAGATAGAGAAGTACTTTGTCAGATATGTCATTGCACAATATTGTTTCCCATTCTGTGGGTTCTCTTCTTACTCTTTTGGAGAAGTCTTTTGATGCACAGAAGAATTTAATTTAGGGCCCCTAAATTTGCCCTTACTTTTTCCTTGATGAACTTTATAATTTTAGGTTCCACATTTAAGTCTTTGATCCACATGGAGTTTTTGTGTATGGCTTGGGATATTTATCTTGTTTCTTTTTTTGCAAATGAATGTCCAGTTTTGCTTAGCACCATTTTTTAAAGAGACTGTGTCTTGCCCATTGAATGGATTTTGTCAAAGATCAACTGACCATAATTATTTCTGGGTTCTCAATTCTTTTCCACTGGTTTTCGTGTCTACTGTTGTACTAGTACGAGACTGTTTTGACTACTGTGGCTATGTAGTAATAGATTTTGAGATCTGGGAGTGTGTGAGACCTCCTACTTTGTTCTTCAATAGTGCTTTGCTTATCTGAGGGCTCTTTCCTTTCCATATAAAATTAATGATTGGTTTTTCCTTGTCCTTAAAGAATGTTGATGGGATCTGGATCGGGATTGCATTGTGAATGTATTGATTGCTTTGGGTAATATTGATATTTTCACCGTGTACAATCTTCCTATCCATGAGCACAGTATGTTCTTCCATTTATGTAGATCTCTGAAGTTTTTTAAAGTAGTGTTTTATAGTTTTCTTTGAATAGGTATTTTGTGTTCCAGATAAGATTTATTCCAAAGTGTTTTATCTTTGTGGTATCTGTTATAAATAGTGGGAGCTCTGGTGGTGTAGTGCCTAAGGCACCTGACTGCTAACCAGAAGGCTGGGGGTTCAAACCTACCAGCCACTCCTTGGAAGGAAGATTGGGCAATCTACTTCTGTAGAGGTTCTGCCTCAGAAATCTAAGGAGGGGTTGCTATGAGTTGGAACTGACTTGACGGCAGTGAGTTTGGTTTGGTTTTGGTATTGTAAATGGTGTTGATTTACTTTTCAGAGACTTCATTGTGGTGTAGAGGAATCCAACTGATTTTTGTATGTAGATCTTGTATCCTGCCACTATGATAAATCTTTTCAGTAAGTTCCAGTAGTTTTCTTGCTGAGTCTCTTGGGTTTTTTATGTATAGGATCATATCATCTGCAAATAAGTATAGTATTTCTTCTTCCTTAACAATTTGGATGCCTTTTGACAATTCCCTTTCTCGCCTTTTTGTCCTGGCTAGGACTTCCAATACAATGTTGAGTAGAAATGGTGATAGAGGGCATCCTTGTTTGGTTCTTCTTCACAAGGGGAATGGTTTCAGTCTCTCTCCAATGAGAATAATGTAAGCTGTTGGTTTTGCATATGTGCCCTTTATTATGTTTAAGAATTTCCTTTCTATTCCTGTTTTACTGAGAGTTTTTATCAGGCATGGGTGTTAGATTTTATCAAATGCCTTTTATGCATCTATTGATAATGGTCATGTGATTCTTTCCTTTCTTTTACTTATGTAATGGGTTTTTTGATATGTTGTTGGAGTCTATTAACTAGAATTTTGTTAAGATTTTTCTGTTTTTTCATGAGGGAAGCTGGTCTTTTTAGTGGTATCTTTGCCTGGTTTTAGTATCAGGATTATGTTTGCTTCATAAAATGAATTTGTAAGGATTCCATCCTTTCCTTACGTCCTGGAGTAATTTGAGTACAATTGTTGTCAGTTCTCTGAATGTATGGTAGAATTCTCCAGTGAAACCGTTTGGGTCTGTCTGTTTTTTGTTAGTAATTTTTTTATGACCTATTCAGTTTCTTTTGTTACGGGTGTGTTCAGGTTTTCTACTTTAGTCTGTGTTAGTTTTTTCATGCTATCTGCTGCTGCTGCTTTTCATTTGTTAAGCTTGGTCTTCTATTGCATTGGTTTCTAATTTTACACCATTGTTATCTGAGAAGATGCTTTGCAGTATTTCAGTGTTTTTAAATTTATTGAGGCTTGCTTTGTGGCCTAACATATGGTCTATCCTGGAGAATGTTCCATGTGCACTGGAAGAGAATGTCTGTTGTGCTGGTGTTGAGGGAAGTGCTCTGTAGATATCTGTAAGGTCACGTGGGTTGATTATATTGTTTAGTTGTTAAAGTCTGATTTATGTATTTTGGGGCTCATTAATTGGATGCATTTTTATGTCTCATTGATCCTTTAATCATTATGTAATGTCCTTCCCTGTCTCTTATGGTAGTTTTTGTTTTAAAGTCTATTTTACCAGAAATTAATATTGCCACTCCTGCTCTTTTTTAGTCTATGTTTTGTCTTTGTGTCTCTCAGGTGAATCCGTTGTAGACAGCATATGGATTGGTTGTGTTTTCTTATTCAGTCTGCAGCTCTCCATCTCTTCAGTGGTGCATTTAATCTATTTACATTTGATGTAATTATCTATAAGTATGAATTTAGTTGCCATTTTGTTAGGTGTTACGGCTTTTTTGTGGTGTTGCTGGTTTCTTTGTTTCATGTAATTTTTTGTGCTATGTTCCTTTTGTTTATAAATCATGTTATCATTTCTTTTGTTGCTAGTCTTTCAGTATTCGCTAAATATTTGTGTCTTTTTTATTTTGATGTGACGGTTTATTATTTTTCTTTGCAGTTACTCTGTGATTTATGGTTTTCTACCGAGATTTAGAACAGTCTGTTCTATCTCACAATTGTTTTAGAAGTTCTGTACCTACACTATTTATTCCCTCTTTTTGGTTTGTAGTTGTCCTCACTTGCCAATTGATGTCCATCCCTGGTTCCCTGTTTACAGTCTTAGAAGCTTATTTTATTTTGGATACTTCTGTAACTGTCTTGGTTTCTGGATTATGTCATCATGTGTGTTGATCATGCTTTTGTTGGTTCTGTGTCCAAAGGACTCTCTCCCTTTAGCATCTCTATAAGTTTGGTCTGGTTTAAACAAATGCTTTTAATTTCTGCTAATTTATAAATGTCTAATTTTATCATCATTTGAGAGGAACCATTTTGCTTGGTATATAATTCTTGGTTGGAAATTTTTTTTCTTTCGGTATTTTATGTATATCATTCCAGTGTTGTCTGCCTGCATGGTTTTTGCTGAGAAATCAGAGTTTAGTCTCAATGGTTACTCTTTTTAGGTAAATTTTCATTTTTCTTGTGCTGCTTTTGGGATTCTTTCTTTGTCTTTGGTTTTGGTGATTTTGAATATAATATGTCTTGATGATTTTCTTTCGGGGTCTGTCTTGTTTGGGGTTTGTTGCTAGTCTGAAATTGATATCTTCTCATCTTTTCATCGTATTTTGAACATTCTTTTCCAACAAATCTTCAACACATTTCTCTGGTTTTGTTTGTCTCTTCGTATTCTGGAATTCCAAGTTAATTCTCTTGATACAGTATTCCACATGAATCTTAGGCTTTCTTTATTTTGTTTTGATCTTTTTAACAAAGTACTATTGAGGTATTTGCCCTCGGTCTCAATTCTGTTTTCCTTTGATTAGATTCTATTCCTTTGCTTCTTCACTTAATCTATTTCTGAAATCTTACTGTTAATCTTCTGGATTTCTGTGTTGTTTTCCTAAATTGTTCTAGAGTTTTGTTTCTTAATTTTGTCAGTGTTTTTCTTGATCTCTCAGTCCATTGAAGGTATCTAAATACAGTTCTTTTGTCTCCAGGACATTGTGATATCATTGTATTTATATTTAATTGGTGATATATTTTGTAGTGATTCATGTAAAACACAAACTACATAAACAAATAGGAACAATCACCAAAAAAAAAAAAAAAAGAGGAAAGGCAGTACACAAGAAGAAAATTTTTTTAAAATATATTTTAAAACAAGATGAAAGAGGAGAAAAATCCTAAAATATATGGGAGGAAGGGGTGAGAAAAAAGAACAAAAGTAAAAGAATAGTGAAGAAAAAATGAGAAATGTGCGGGGGAAAAAATGAAAATACAAAATGGGAAGAACCAGAAAAAGAAAAGAAAGAAAAACGAAGGGAGCTAGGAAAAGGGAAGAGAAAGAAAATTTAAAAAAAGCAATAACTAGGGAAATTAAACAGAAGAAAAGGAAAGAGGAATAAAGGAGGAAGAAAAAAGAATAATTTAGAAACAAACAAAAACAAAACTAGGGAGGCAAGGGCCAGGGCAGCCAGGTCTGTCAGGTGATACCGACTAGGATGGAATTCCTACTGCTGCAGAAGATGGGTGTAGGTAGGCAGGGTATGGCCACACCTCTGTTCACCAAGAGAATATGGGGTATAATTAACAAGCGGAATACCACACCATTCCTGTTGTCAGCCTCCAGTGCAGTTTCCTGTGCTGTCCTCAACAAGTGGAGACTGTTTTAGGTTGCTGCCTACATCAGAATGCTGCTTTTACAAATACTTAAAATAGCCATGCCACTTGCAAATATGCAAAATGGCTGGACACTAGTTCAACCAGCAGTCCATAGCTCTGTTTGTTGTCTTCTCTGTTTTACTTTCTAATTCTTAGTCACCGGTGCAGTTGTCCATGCCACTTGTAAATATTCAAATTGACCATGCTTTCAGTACTTGTTAACAGTCCACAGCTTGATCTGTCTCCTTATTCACTGTTTTTGTTCAGGTTCTTCTAGTAGTTGGTATTTAACATAATTCTTTTATCGTTCCTTTTAAAGCTCTAGGTTCCAGGATTATTTTCTGTATCTGTTTCTAAGTTTTTCTTTGAGCTAGATCTTTGAGACTTGTAGGATGATTTGCATACTACATACCTGTCAAGCAAATGTTGATAAACTCCACGTGTGAGCACAATTTGACCATTAGTTAGGATAAATGAGAGGGCTTATGAGGTATCCAAAGGTGTGGACCATTTTAAATGTGCTATATAATCTCTACCCAGTGTATGTATGGAGTGTGGTAAGAGGGAAAGTATGTAAAGAGGTTGATATTTATGCCTGATACGTTACACAGCATCTTTGAAGATTGACAAGTGAAATGAAATAACATTTCATGCCTTATTTTAGATACTGAAACAAGAATGGCCCAAACACTGGCCAACTTTCATCAGTGACATTGTTGGAGCAAGTAGGACCAGTGAAAGTCTCTGTCAGAATAATATGGTTATTCTTAAACTCTTAAGCGAAGAAGTGTTTGATTTCTCTAGTGGACAGATAACACAAGTGAAAGCCAAGCATTTGAAAGACAGGCAAGTAATTTTTTTGTTGCTCAGTTTTCTAGTCGGTTCTCTGATGATTGCAAGTAATTTGGAAATAAATTTTAAACATTTAAGGAGGTGATCAGTAATACTCTAAATTCATTGTAGTAATTTTGGACAACAGATTACATTGGCTTTACATGGGGCTAATATTGTAAATATGTAGGGTTGGAAAGTATGCATGGGGTTAATAGTTACGATCTCATGGTTATTTCATTCATTTCATGCAAAAAAGATTACAGTGCAAGAGGTCCCAGAAATCTTTTTGTGGTCCATTTTATGATATGGTGACCAATTCTAAGGAAATGACTTGCATCTAAATAGTGTTGAATTCGTAGTAGCTCTGCTTCTTGTCAGTTCCCCTTTAGATATCAGTAGAAAGATACCAGACTCCACTTTGTAGTGAACAGCCAGGATAAACTGTAGGTTTGTAACATTTTCCACTTAATAAAAATTTGGTCTACTCATTAGTAACACAGTAAAATTTTACCTTTATTTATTTATTCCAGCTTAAGATTTTATGATTTTCCCTTTAGTTCAGTATATTAGCACATTTCAGGATTTGGGATTTATCATGTCCAATGCCATTTCCTTTATTTTTGAGAATTTTGCAATTATTTTAATTAAAGATGTTTACTTGGTAGAAATTAACGAAGTAAAACAGAATGGCAAAAACCAAATGCTCAAGAAATGAAATAATGACTTTGTAGATTTAGGAGTTACTGATATTTTTATTGTGTTTAAATAGAAGTCACCCAAGTCTTTTAAAACCAATTATCATTTTTTTAAATTACATAAATAAAATTATTTCTGAGTGTCTTCTAAATCTTACCACTTTTTTTTAATAGCATGTGTAATGAGTTCTCACAAATATTTCAACTATGTCAGTTTGTGATGGTAAGTGCTTTAATTTTTATTTTTAAAAATATCTATTAATTATAAGGAGCTAATTACTTACAAGTATGTGTGTGTTACAGGAAAATTCCCAAAATGCTCCACTTGTGCATGCCACCTTGGAAACACTGCTCAGATTTCTTAACTGGATTCCACTGGGATATATTTTTGAGACCAAGTTAATCAGCACATTAATTTATAAGGTACAGTACACACAGTTGTGTTTATGACTTCATAGTCAGATACATTAATTCTTTTATTTTGTTTTTCCCCCAATTGTGACTTCAGTGAAAGTTTTGCAGAGGAAATTAGTTTTCCATTCAACAACAGTTCATACACATATTTTGTTTCATGATAACTGTCCTCATAATTTAACGGGTTTCTCCCACTTCTTCCCTGTGGTTTCCTTTTCCCAGTGTTGTTCTTCCTATGCATTCCTCCCATCTGAGTTATCTCCCTGGTATAGTTGTTCACTGTAGGCTAGTCCGTTGTTTGGCTGGAAGCCACGGGAATGAGTTCAGTGCCAGGCCGTAAGGGTAACTAGGAGCCATAGTCTCAGAGGTTTCATTATTCCTTATTAGACTAGTAAGCCTGTTCTTTTTTATGATTGTGGGTTTTGCTCTGCCATTTTTCTCCCACTTTATCTAGGATCTCTTATTTTGATCCCTTTCCAAGTAGTTGGCAGGGGAAGCTGGGTATCATCTAGTTCTTTTGGTCTCAGGATCATGTGTGCTGAGGTTTACATGGTCTACTAGTACTTTGAACTAATTATTTCCATGCATTTTTAAAATTTTCTTCATTCTTTGCTCTGGATGAGGGGAGACCAATTGTTGTACCCTAGATGGCTGCTCACAAGCTTTTAAGACTCCACTTGTTACTCACCAAAGTAGAAGGTAGAGCAGTTTTTGTGTAGTGTGTTATGCTAATTGAGCTTCATGTCCCCCATGACCATGGTCCTGAGCTCACAGGAGCAGCGACTCAGTCCCTCCAGGTGTTACACTGTGGTAGAAGTTACATCTTTGCCCTCTGTTAGGTTTGCTATACATAATGGACATATCTTACAGAACATACAAATACTTAATGTAGAAATATCATCTGCCAAACTTAAATATGGTCATGGGTGTGTTCCCTTTTACTGATCCTTTAGCATATCTACCTACGTGTCTACCTGTAGATTATTTGTTACTGATAATGCATTATTGTGTATGTAAGTGTTTACCTTTGTTGTCTGTACCTCATATGAACCTCTCCATGTCTTCCTTCTCCTTAGCATTATTGTGCTTGTCAGTGACTTGATACATTGCTTTACCCTTTCCCAAAATCAATACTTGTCTCTTACCTATCTAGCAGTTTATCCTCCCATCCCTGATAACCAACGAAGTAAGTTTCCTTCCATGTATACACCTTGACTTTTACAGTTGTGGACTCATGCTGTATTAGATCTTCTCTGATTGGCTTAATTCACTCAGCATATAATGTCCTCCAAATTAATCTACTTCATGAGATGTTTTGCAGATTCATTATTCTTTAGTGTTGCATAGTGTTCTGTTGTTTGTATGTACCATAGTTTGGTTATCCATTCAGCCCTTGATTGGCACTTAGGTTGTTTCCATCTCTTTGCTGTTGTGAATAGTGCTGCGATGAACATATGTATCTATTTGTGTCCTGGTTCTCACTTAGAGTACATACCTAGCAATGGGATTGCTGGTTCAAATGGTATTTCTATTTCCAGCTATTTAAGAAATCACCATAATGTTTTCCACAGTGATTGTGTCATTTTACAGTCCCACCAGCAGTGTATGAGTTCCAATCTCTCCATATCCTTGCCAGCATTTATTTTCTGTATTGTTGAGTTTTGTTATATTATTCCTCTGTGAAGCTCTTTTATGTAGAAAGACCCTTCTGCCTATATAATCATAAGCAATTGTTTCCAAAATGAAAAAAGTGCTCACAAGAGTTAAGTACTTTTCCATAGTTACAGCTAGTAATTGTTTGAGATGTGCCTCAATACCCTGTTTCTGCACCATGTAATGCAGAAATTCAGTGTCAAAAACTAATAGATTTGATTAATAATACCATATTTTAGTTGAATAGATATCACAGTGAGGTAAATCAAGTTTTTACAGAATTAAAAGTCCTTGTAACTTTTTCCTGGTAATTTTAAAGTAACAGCATGTTGTATAAATCCAAAAATTGTTCCTTCAGAGATAAACACTGTTACCATGTGGTAGTGTTATTTTTCCAGAACTTTTTTTGCTGCTATAATGAATAAATTGTGCTTAATTCGTACTATAAAACCAGACTCTGATTTATATTTTGAACTTTTAGTTCAAGGTTGATAGGAACTCTCGTGGTATAGTGGTTAAGGCATTTGGCTGCTAACCAGAAGGTCGGTTGTTCGACCCCACCACCTGTTGTGCAGAGGAAAGATGAGGTAGTCTGCTTCCTTAAAGATTTATAGCCTTGGAAACCCAGTAGAGGTTGCTGTGAGTCTGAAGTGACCCAGTGGTAGTGAGTTTGGTTTTTTGCTTTGAGTTCAAGGTTGATAGTGTGATTCTGATAGGATTTAAAGTATCTTTTCAATAGAGCCATTGTCTTATTAATATTCAGTTAAGTTATATATAGTGTTTTGCTATTGTCACAGAACAGTAGGGAACATTCTTAAACATAGAATATTAATGCACTTGTCCAAGTATTTATTTCATGTAAATTATACATGCAATTGTTGGATCAATAGGTAGGTCCATTTTTAAGAACTTTGAAGCTCATGAAATTGCTGTCTGCATGTGGTATGTTATTTTTGTGCCTTTTCAGTGATGGAATGAATGGTAAATAGCCAGTTTTCCCCACATACTTGCTTTTATTCTGTATTATTACCTACTAACTAACATTCAAAGTAATTGTAAATCTTGGGTTTTACTTGCACTACACAGAAAAGGGCACCTCCCTAAATGTGATATAATAGGTCCTAGGAAAGTTGCCAAGCAATTTTATGTTTTTTTAGATGTGTGAGGACACTTCAGAAGAAAGCACAATTTGCTCCCAAAGAAGTTAGTGTCTACTAGGTGAATAATGACATTTCCTCTAAAACTATGTGCAAAATAAAAACATTTATCATTCATTTATCTATATTTGTTTTGTAGCCTATGTTCTTAATTGTTACATTCTTTTTTCCTTTCTTTAATTGTAAACGAATTGTGTTTCACGCCATTGAATTTTGATTGTTTTGTTTTTAAATAGTTCCTGAATGTTCCAATGTTTCGAAATGTGTCTCTAAAGTGCCTCACTGAGATTGCTGGTGTGAGTGTAAGCCAGTATGAGGAACAATTTGTAACTCTATTTACACTGACAATGATGCAGCTAAAACAGGTACTATACAATAAACACTGTTTTTAAAACTAACTGAATAATTTTAATGCTTCAGAAAATGTTGCATTAGATTTGAATCATTTCACACAAGTTATAATAGATTTTTAGTGATACGGTTACATATTTATACATAAGATCAATAATGGTAAGCTATAAATTTGGTGAGCATTTTGAAAATGCTTTCAAATAAAGGTTTTGGGTATACCATGGTAATTTGTATCTATAAAATTTAGAAGCTTAATCTTTTTGTCAGAGACCTGACCAAACAATGGGTTACGTGGGATCTGATAAAAACTCTGCTACTGACCTTGACTCTTGAAATGAAGGACCTGTTTCCATCCCTAACACATTAGTTTTGTATTCTGGATCAGCAATACTTGTTTCAAACACTGTGAACACTGGATAAAAGTTACCATCAGTCATACCATTAGTTTGGATCCTTCTGTTGAACTCGTATTGATATAATTATGCTCCTTGGAAGAGAAACCTTAGGGACACCATAGATTTACTTTGAGGAAACTAAGTTGAGGCTCAGTATTTTATTGACTTACCTGTAAATTACACCAAACTGTTTCTTAAATCAGTTTGGTATTTGATTAAGAATGTGTGAAGTGATCCAGAAGACTAATCATACTAATAGTAGATGTTTGTGATAAGAATAAATGGAACATTTTTATATTTTTAATGACATGAAGGAGAGAAAAGTCTGACAGAGAAAAATTCAAAGATTGTACCAGATGCATCAAATATTGTCTGTATCATTTTACTTTTACACAATCAAGATCATGGGCATAAAGATACAAAAAGAGTTAATACATATAGGAGATCAAGGGATTCTAATTGTTTTAATATTAGAAAGGATGATGGAATCAGGACTTAATACTATCTTTTTAATAAACGTAGACTAATAGTTCGTATTCAAACTTGCAGATGCTTCCTTTAAATACTAATATTCGACTTGCATATTCAAATGGAAAAGATGATGAACAGAACTTTATTCAAAATCTCAGTTTGTTTCTCTGCACATTTCTTAAGGAACACGGTCAACTTATAGAAAAAAGATTAAATCTCAGGGAAACGTTGATGGAGGTAGGCTTTGATAGAGCCTTTTGGTTTTTTAAATTCTTCTCTATATAACTCTTGAAAAATGTGCCATTAATTTAAAATGTTTATCACTTTTGAGATGTCCTTATTACTTGTCTGCGCATTATTAAATACAGTTGTCAATACTGATTATTACAGCTACAAGCCAAGTTTCCTGATTTTGTAAGTGACCTTTTATAGCTAGCTTCTTTCACATAAGCTTTTGGAGTTCATCCATGTTGTAAAATTTGTCCATATATCATTATTCTTCATGGCTGAATAATATTCCATTTATGGATATGCCACATTTTTAAAAATCAGTCCATCTATTGGTGAACGTTTGGGTTTGTTTCCAACTTTGGTTGTATTGTCCAAAGCCCTTTAAACCCTGAACTTTTGTAAGAGACTTGATTAAAACATGAAGAACATGTGAGAAGAAAGCACAGTTTACTCCCAGATAATTTGGTCTGTTGGATGATTAATGAAGTCACAGTAAAACATGAATTTTTATTTCCCACGAAAGTAGCAAGTGGTAGGAAGTTTGAAGTTACTTAATAATGTCTAAGGATTACTTTAATAGTTTTGGTCTTATATATAGGCCCTTCATTATATGTTGTTGGTATCAGAAGTAGAAGAAACTGAAATCTTTAAGATTTGTCTTGAGTACTGGAATCACTTGGCAGCTGAACTCTATAGAGAAAGCCCCTTCTCTACATCTGCCTCTCCGTTGCTATCTGGAAGTCAGCATTTTGATGTTCCGCCCAGGAGACAGCTCTATTTGCCTGTGTTATCCAAGGTAACAAGTAAAGTAAATAGTTGAGTGCTCTTCCTATCGCTTATTGTGTGGTTCTCTGAGCTACGTGCAAATACTTGCTTTGCTTTTTTGTTGTTGTTGTTGTTTGTTTGTTTTGTTTGTTTGTTTTTGGCTAACATCCAAATTAGTGAGTTTTATTTTTAAAGAATCTGACAACTTCTCCATGAAGGTTAAAAACTACAGTGTGAAAAGGGTTCATTCTCAAAGTGTAGTCTTTATACCAGAGACTTTGGCATCCTCTGAGTTTACTAGAAATGCAGATTGCAGCCTCATGAATCAGAATCCTGAATGCTCTGGGAATCAGGAAATTTAACAAGTTCTCTAGGTGCTTCGTAGATTAAAGTTGGGGAACCATGGCTTGTGGGTTTGCCTTATTCTTAACTTGGAAGAATCATTTTGTTTAGTATGGTGACATTAAGTGCATACCTTAATTTGGGGCAGTGGCTGCATTTCCGGGTTTGATGGTGTTGATTTTTTAAAACTAACACATTTTTATTGATGCATTATTGTTAAATAGGTCCGTTTATTGATGGTTAGTCGTATGGCTAAACCAGAGGAAGTATTGGTTGTAGAAAACGATCAGGGAGAAGTTGTGAGAGAATTTATGAAGGATACAGATTCCATAAATTTATATAAGAATATGAGAGAAACATTAGGTAAGTTAATAATGCTAATAATTTAACTTTTACCTTTGTCATCCTCTTCTTGGGTGTTTAGTAATTTTTAGGAGCTCTGGTGGTGGTATAGGGGTTAAGGCATTTGGCTGTTAACCAAAAGGTCAGTGGTTCAAACCCACCAGCTGCTCCAGTGGGGGTCGCTATGAGTCAGAATCAACTCAGGGGCACTGAGTTGGTATTTTGTGTAATTTTTAGAAAATACGGTAACGTGTAGTTTCTGAATATGTTAATAGCCGTCTTGATCTTGGTTGATGTTCTGTTGTTCCTTAGCCGTGGTCTTTTTACTCATGAGTTTTTTTAATCTCAAACAACCAGAACTTTTTTTTCTCTCCTTATAGTTTATCTTACTCATCTGGATTATGTAGATACAGAAAGAATAATGACTGAGAAGCTTCACAATCAAGTGAATGGTACCGAGTGGTCATGGAAA